AGAGAGATAGAGAGAGAGATGGGTGTGTGTGGGTGTGTGTGAGAGAGAGAAGGAGAGAGAGACCTGCCGCGTAGTCACGGCGCGTTCACGCGTGAATCCTATTCTGACACCGATATACAGGGACATCATGGGGCGTGAGCTCTAAGACACGGGCCATGACCTTAGCCGTGACCTTAGCCGTGACGTTAGATGTGACCTTAGACGTGACCTTAGCCGTGACTTTAGATGTGACCTTAGACGTGACCTTAGACGTGACATTAGCTGTGACTTGTGCGGTCGAGAGTTTATTTCGATGGTGCGAATGAAAAAAAATAATTGTTGGAAGTTAGTCCTCTAGAAAGAGGTACTCAGTGCTCCCTGCTGTGTGTTTCCTTTACATTTTTTTTCGCGCCGAACCTAGAATAAGTCGTTCTCGTCTTTTTTGTTAAAAACAGACACCTCTTCCCAGTATTCCTTTATCGGATTCCTCAGAGGAAGGGTTTGTATGCCAGGGAGGAGGGTTGGTGTGGCAGAGGGGATGAGTTGGTAGCGAGGAAGGTATGGCGTGGTGTGGGAGAAACCCGTATAATCCATGGCTTCTCTCTCTCTCTCGTTGTTGTTACGTAGAGGAAAGGTGTGGCGTGGCGTGGGAGAAACCAGNTGACAGTTGAGTACATTGTGGTGACAAGGTGATAGGTTGGGTCGCTGTTGCCATGGCGACGGTTGAGTGCATGGTGACAAGGTGATATATTGGGTCGCTGTTGCCAAGGCGACGGTTGAGAACATGGTGACAAGGGGATATTTGGGTAGCTGTTGCCATGGTGACAGTTGAGTACATTGTGGTGACAAGGTGATAGGTTGGAACGCGGTTGCCACGGTGACAGTTGAGTACCTGTTGGCGAAAAGCGGGATTGTTGGGTTGCTGGTGATGGTGGGGGTGGGAAGCTGTTGGGAAGACTCTAGTTTAGCGGTGAGAGCGTGTGAGAGGCCCTCGGGAGAGTGTGAGTGCTAGCTCTCGAAACGCAATCTGTCGCGTGCATTACGTGGTGCGATGACGACCATGACGGCGGCAGCTGCAGCTCTTATCACGCTCTCCATGTTGACCTCCTTTACGATGAGTGGACGAGTGCA